CTTGGCCTTGGTGAGGGCAGGGTCATCGAGCTCAACACGACCGAGGTAAGCCCAAAGAAGAGCAAGAGCCTTGCGTCGCACGCCGTTATCGAGATCCTCAAGCTTGTGCTTGTCCTTGGCCGTCATACCAGAAGCATAGGGCTTGTGTTCGCCCTCGGCCGTGATCCTTGACTCAATCTTGGACAGACCAGACTCGGCCTTGTCACCCTTCAGAGTCTCCTCAAACTCCTTGCCAGTGCTCAGTGCCGTGATGATTCCACCCTGGTCGATGTTCTCCTCGTATTGTCGGAACAGGTTGTTGGCGCTCTCCATCAGGACACCTTCCTTGGACCTCCGCTTGGTACCGTACCACCACGATCCGACGAGCCAGGGAAGAAGGACTCCAAGGAGTAGGGTGTACAGGAGAACGACATACTTTCCGTTTCCGTCGGAGACGATAAACTTGGGGAGGGCAATGCCCATGCTGAAGCTCTGCTTGCCGTCGGGGTGGCCGTACTGGATGTAGTTGTTGCGCACCTCCTCGTCCGTGAGGGCCTGGTAGGCCTTGGTAAGTTCGACATAGTAATCGTTGAGCGACTCGGCGGTCTCGTTCTTGGCAGGGTCGGGGCGAATCTTGTCGGGGTGGTACTTGAGGGACAGGCGCTTGTAGTGCGACTTGATCTGCTTCTCGTTGAGGGACTAGGGCGTGTCAGTGGATTACTCTGGCTGTCAATCTCGGGACAGCTCACCTCAGAAATACCAAGAATATCGTAGGGATTGTAGAGCTTGGGAACAGTGCGCTGGGTCACCATGATGAGGTACACCATGCCGCCCATGAGGGCCCATCCGATCACGACAAAGATGGCCCGCTTGACCCTCCACTGCTTGCGCTTCTGGGTCGTCCTCAGCGACTCGACGGTAGCCGAGTGCTCCGTCTTGTAGTCGGTCTTGATCCGCGGCGCAAGCGCATCTTGGTCGCGACTGGGGCGGACGAGGGTGTAGGTCAGGGGGACGGTGACGAGGCCGGTGAGGGTGAGGATGAAGAAGGGGAAGAACTGGCCCTGTTATTGGGAGAAGTACTTGTTAGCCATAAAGTTGCAGCAGTAGACGTCGCATCTCTCTTACCTGCTCGTCATACGAGTAGTCTGAACTCATCTTGAAAGAGTAGAGAGCCCAGGGCTACACTCGACGAAGGAGCTTTGTAACGGGTGATGAAGACAGCAAGACCAGACAGGATTGGTTCCTTCTCTTTCGTATGCCCAAATAATATGGAATCTACCGGCCAAATGTCGTGTCGCGTGTTGAGCTGGCCGACAGACAATGCGGATTTTCGTAAAGTTATCAAAAGAATGGATGTCGAGGCGAGTGTGTCAAGCTGTCCTCAAAATGTTACGGCCACGCAGCGCATTTCCACTCCAGGCGGGACCGGGGACTTCCTTCCACTGGACCTGACTTGCAAGGAAGGTGCGGGCGGACGCCGGTGGTCGGATTATCTGTCACTCCCCACTTGCCGCTTGGGCTGGAACATAGCAGAAGGAACACTCCAGCTGGTACCTTCCGTGAATACGCGCCACCGTGTTCACAGTCTCACTCACTCTCGCTCTTTCCATTTCAATTTTAGAAACGCAACCATCTCAATCCATTTTTAGCGTGGTCAGCCCTGTAGCTTACCTATGCCTTTGTCGAGCCTATTCGCCTCCATATTTTACACTCGTGATAGCCAAGTCTAACTTTGCAACAGAAACCTTGTCCCTTTTCACCTTCAAAACCTCCCAACTTTTCAATTATAAAACTAATGATTCATTGACAAAGAAACTCTCTCTCGCTGCATATGAATATGACCTAAAGCATAGTCCCTCTAATCCTACAGTACAGATTCCGACTCCCTGTTATATAGGGCAATTCTTTGTTCCCAATGGTACATCCTCCCAACGCCAAACATGACCAAAGCAAAGCAACCATCACACGCTACGCTATGACATTCTGCCCTCCTCCTACTTCACATCTACTCGCTGCTTACTCGCTGGCGTCTCCGTGACTCGAGTAGTCGCTCTTCTCCCTCGGCTCCTCGTAAATCGTGTCCTCGTCCAGGGTTGTCATGCCAAGTCCAAGCCCGCTGAGGTCTTCCACATCCGTTTCCTCCTCCGTCGTCGCTCCATTGCCCATCTCTTCGACGAGGATGTTTCTAAGATCCTCTTCGCTGAGAATGGTCTGGATGCTTCCCCTACGCACCCACGGGCGAGAGTCTCGGCGACCTTGTTCAATCAATCTTTCAACCATGAGACGGTTTGCGATAAACTTGAGCTTTGGGAATGCACTCTGCTTGCCCTCGTGAATCATCCGTGCAAGACGAGGTGCATCAGGATCCGTCAGGATATGCCAAAAGTCTGAAATTCTAGACTTGGGCCAGATAGTGATGGTCCCGCTGAACTCCTGTAACCACAGCTGACTCCAATCTTGACCAAGAGGCCGTGGCAGCAGCTCAGCGTGACGGATAAACTTGAGCCACTTGTTCATGTCCAATTTGAGGTAATGCTCGAACGCCGACATGAGATATCCGCCTCGCCATCCACGTCCCTTGCGGTGTGTTACCGGATGGCCAACCGAGCCTCGGGAGGAAAAGAAGAAGAGGTTGATGTGTGGGTTGACCTGGCTGACAATCGTGAAGTTGACGTTGAAATGTGTGTTCAGCGCCTTGATGGGAATGTCTGTCCGTAGACTGCCGTCCTTCCACTTGTGGCCGAAGGAGTATGGCTCCAATGTCCCGTCTCGAGTCTTCATCATGAGGACAACAGGGTTCAGAATGCCAGGGACTGCAGCCGATGCTAAAACGGCCGACCAGATGACACAGTCGGGGCTTGTGAGGTAGTTGCAGAGGATAGTAGGTGAGTGAGGATCAGCTGGCACGCAGGTCACGTTGAGGATACGACCTGTCCGCTCATATGCCTCTCGGAATGTCATTGAACCTCGCGTCCACCAGCCACATCGCCGAGCCCAGTCAACCGAGTCGAAGCGGGCTCCTGTCTTCCACCATCGCGGAAGCCAGACGGTGAAGGGCTCGCGGCAGGCGTTGATGCGCTCCGAGAGTGCTGGCACAAGTAGTTCATCAAGCTCCTCGTTCGTGCGAGTGGCCACCAGGGCTGCAACCAATGCTCCACCGCTGGTGCCAGTAATAACGTCCGGCAACAGGTCCGCATCCAGAAGGGCCCTGACAACTCCAACATGATAGTAGGCAAAGGCTGCACCTCCTGACAAGCAAAGCGCTGTTCTTCCGTAGTTGGCGTAGACGTGCTTGAAAAGAACCCGCTTCTGCTCCATCTCTAGCTGCTTGGTGCCAGCAAGGAACTTGATGCTCTTTTGCTCTACTCCTTGTTAGTGGTAATTCCACAGGGAGAATATGAAATACTCACCTTCGTCAAGAAAGTTCTGCACCAGATTCTTCGTCCCAAAGTACGTCTGGCTGTATAACCTCGAGTTCTCCACTCCAACAAAGTTGTTCTTGACGCAGGCCTCGATCAGAGTCTTGAGATCGTCCACAGCCTTGCCTCCATCGCTCGGTTCAGCCTTCTCTTCCTGCTCTTCTGCTCGGAGTCTCGTCTTCCTCATCTGCTCCCACACCTTGCGAACAGTCTTGGAGTCGTAGTATGCGAAATCATTCTCCTCCTTCCAAGTCTGTCGGCCGAGGTAAGTATCGAGTTCCTTTGCGGCGGTAACCCAATCTTCGTAGTGAACGGTATTTCGCAGGGTCCGTCGGAGGCTTTCTCGCTTTCCACGCCAGGTGAAAAAGTGTTCATACACCCAAATATACAATCTCGTTGAGAGATAGGCAATGGCGAGGCCGGTCAACCACGCAAACACAAAGAAGAGTAGTGGCCATTTCGATACTTGGTATAGATATCCTTCGCGGGTCTCGTCCTTGGTCCGTGTTCCCAGCAGGCCCTCAACGGCTCCCTTGCCGTTGCGGCGCTTTCTCTTGTGTCGCTTAGATCCGCGTCGATGGCGATAAACTCTGGGGTTCACAGGGGCCCAATCGTTCTGCGCCGTGATAAACGTCCCTTGGCTCGGGTGTCCCTGGCTCGACGACGATAGCACGGGAAGGTCGCCGGACGCGGCGCCTGCAGCGGCTGCAACGGCTGCCACATCATCGGCAATGCCGCCCTCAGCCTGCGACGGCCTCTTGGTTAAACTGAACGAGCTGGGACTGCGTGGCGATCGAGCACCCGCATCATCAGACGGGCTCTGGAGCGGATCCGGGGCTTGTAGCGCCTTTTCAAAGGCTTCGAGATCTTGCGCAGCGACGAATTCAGTGTCAACGTCTGGTAGATGGGAGGGGTCGAAGGACTCGGGTGGAAAGCCGTAGGCGGGATCGCGAGGGAGCAAAGAGGCATACGGCGACGACATGACGGATGGGTTTGGCAATCCCTAATCCATCGCTGACGATAAAATTTTCAAGAGAGATTGCAACAGATTGGCATGGATGAGGCGAAAAAAAGGAGTAGGAATGCGCTTGATCACAGCCTGTATGTTGGGTAAAGTACCTCGTGAATAGACAACGTGAGGAAATGACATCAGTAGGTCTCGTCCGGAGCTGGTCAGCCTGAGCTACTACGGTACCTCTGTACTTTACCCCAACGAAATCCACAGCCAATGGAAACCCGGCCTTGTAAGTTGCCATTCGGGGGTCCATCCTTATCCATACCAGTTCGCCCTTGGCGAGCCGAGGTCATGGCTCTCCCAACTAAAGAACACCTGGTCTGGCATCAGGAGAGAGTGGGAGACATGAGAAAACAGCAGATGCTAGTAAGGCACAGAGACGGTTTACACACCCAAACATCTTCTAGCTACGCCTCTCAGCTCCATTCACAAACGGTGCACGTCATCATGTCTCCCCACCTGCAAATATCGGCGTTCATGAGTATCGTGGATCCCCGTCGCCTCCCCTTGCTGCATCCTTGCCCCGATGCCACCAGGGGTCGGGCTTTATTTTTCCTATTTTTCCTATTTTTCCATCAGGGGTATTTCCCAACGACACAACTCGGTTGATGAGGTCGTATACAGAGTATGTAGCAAGATGTTGTAGTATAATTGCACGACCAAGGTTCGCCTAAAGGAGAATTCTGAATCTCATAAACAGTGGATAGTCACAAGTCCTCCTCTGCTCTTCCCCCCGAACACTCGACATCTGGTATACCTCTGTAGATCTCTCCCTCCTACCCCCCATCTCTTCTCTCCTTCGTCCTTTACACGTACTGCGAGAGCCAGCGTATACCGTCACCGTAACCTTGTCGCATCACCACGGAGCACATGAACAGCTCGATCGGTCGGATACCCTCAAGCTGAACCTTGCCCTTGCCGGTTGTCTGGTAGAGTCCAAGCTGGTGTCGCATCTCGTCCTCAGAGACGGCATCGGGGTGGTCGATCTTGTTTCCGAGGATGACAAAGGGGACCTTGGAAAGCTCCTCCATGGAGAGGAGGGCATCGAGCTCGGCCTTGGCCTCGGGGAATCGCTCGTGGTCCTTGGCGTCGACGAGGAAGACGACACCGTTGACCTCGGGGAAGTAGTCTCTCCAGATACGGCGAGCTATCACGACAACCATTAATCATTTGCAATCGCGGACTGAGGCCAAAACATCACTTACCCTGCTGGTGACCGCCCAGATCAAAAGTGGTGAATCGAACGTTGCCGATAGCGAGCTCCTCGGATGCTACGGCGAGTCAGTACAACGTATTTCACAGCGATAAAGCACTAGGCCTGGATAGAACATACTGGGGTGAAGAGTGGGTTGAAGAATGGCAACACGGTCGTTCTGTGCATCCATCGTCAGTACTGATGGTCCTCCAAATCTGCCATTGCCGTCGGTGTGAATCAGGGCGGCCCATGATCCATCCAGCAAGTAAATCTCGACGCACCTTCAGCATGTGGAGAAGAGTGGTCTTTCCGGCATTGTCGAGACCCAAGAACAAGAGCTTCGCGTGCTTGTTAAGAAGTCCAAGTGAGGACAGCACATCGTAGACTATCCGCAGCACGTGTCAGCCCATCCAAATCCAAATCGCTTGCAGGCGGCGCATCGAGGCGAGCACCTACACCAGTTGACAATCCACATGATGCAGATGTATTAGATAGTCGTATTAAATCAAAGGTAAAGTCGATGGATTATATTCGGCCGCTTGGGGGATATTCGTCGTGGAGGCTGGCGTCGTTGAATGCGAACTGGGTGGATTATGAGGAAGGCGTTCATGGGCTTGATCAAAAGCTGGCAAGAAAGGGTGACGCTGTTTTAGCCTCATTTCTCAGGCATCCATGGTCGCATGTCACGCTGTCCTTCGGAACACGCGAGGAAAGGCATCGGAAGACGGACAACAAAGAGATCACGTAGCACATCCATTACGAGTCTTTACTTTCGGCTTCTTTGTTGTCGTTCGATTTATTCCATCACACTTGCATGAACTAGATCATTCTCCCCTACACAACCAATCTTGACCTGTAAACATCCGCATCTTGCCACTTCCGATAGTCGGCCATCCCACCGAAATTTCAACTCTACACCTCACACCAGTAAAGGTGCATGCAGGAGAATTGGGTCGAAGAATCAGGATGCATTTCTTACAAATCAGACATGTCAAGTTTCATCACAGTCAAACAGAGTCGTTATTGATATCCTGTAGATGCACATCATCATAGCCTCTCATCCAACGCCGAGCAGGTGACCCATTTTCCCAATGTGCTGTATCGGGTATCCAAATAGTTTAAACAGAAGGTTCCTCTCCGCCGGTAGCGAGCGTTGTCCGGCCGCTCTGAACAATGATAAAAAAAGATGTAAAAGATATATACAGGAAACCTTTGTATCGGGCATCCATAAGTCCCAGTAGATACAAGTGGCCCAGTCCCGAGGACCTGGCCGAGAAAGGGAAAAAAGAAAACGTCGTCAAGTTAAATCGTAGGTATATCGTGCATGACCGTCTTTGGTCATGTCAATCTTGCATCTAGGCAATGCATAGTTGGTCTTCATGCAACACGACAAGTGTGCTTAGACAGAGATGACATAGTTGCCCTGGTCTTTCTTGCCGGCCATCAAGAGACCGAGTTCTCGCATGCGTTCCGTACCGCGGCCGGGGACAGGTTTCCGCTCAGGGATCTGGCCTCGTCGTGCACGGTTGCAGTACTTTTGATGGAACTTCTCCTTGCGTCGCTGTCGTTTGCCCTCCAAGCCCTTGACAATGTCGATGGCACCGCGAACGTGGACGTCGCTGTCGTGCATGATCTTTTGTCGGGCTTGCTTGCGCTGCAGGCACATGGCACCAGCACGCGGAAGAGACTTAGTCTGGGTGAGACCAGGGCGGCCGGCGAGGTTGAACTTGACCTGGCCACAACGAGGGGATCCAAGGGGTGTGATTATGGGCTTTCGGGCGGGAGCTGGCGACTTTGCCTTGCGGGGCGAGTGTCGGTCAAACAAGGGCTTGGGCGAACGTCCTCTGGTCTTGGGTGGAGGAGAGAGATGGCGCTTAGGGGGAGGGGAGCGGAGCCTTTTGGGTGAAGCATGCTCACTCTTGCGTCGGCGGCGATCGCGCTCATGATGCAAGTCCTCCATCTTCCCATGGAGAAAGTCTTCCTCATCGCTTGAATGATGAACAGGGTTGAAAATTTCCCCATCACCCTCGTCTTCAGACTCGGAGGCAGGGAAGCTAGGGTCAATGTCCTGAGGAATGAGGCGGAGCTTCTCGGTCCTGCGAGCTGCTAGGCACGAGAGATACGCTTCTTCAAGAGGTCTGTCCTCATCCAGGGTACCGCACACGAAGTCAGTGCTGTCAGGAAGATCAGGAGCCTCATCGCGCTGCTTAACGCGTCTTGGCTTCTCCCGGCGCATGGTCCGGTGCTGGCTGCTCAGGGTCGTGATGGACGAGTCAGACTTTCGCTCGTGGAGGGATGGGCGGCGGACCAGAGGGGTAGCGGAACTGATGTGAACAACTGTCTTGGCACTGGGAGTCCAGAGAGCCATGTCATCGTCATCGTCCTCCTCTTCAGAATCAGCGAAGCCGGTCTCCTCGTCGGTGTGATAACCATCAGAGTCCTCATCCTCATCTTCTTCATCCTCGTCATCCTCAATGTCGACGTCGAGCTCATCCTCGTTGTCGTCCTCATCGTCTTCATCGTTGTCAAAGGCTGCATCCTCGTCGTCGTTTTCCAGTTCCTCCTCTTCCTCCAAGGCCTCCTCTTCAGCCTCAGTGGCGAGGCGACGGATATGGTTCTCCTTAGTGAGGGTGTCGTTGATGGTAAGCCTAGCCCCCGTGGCATCGCTCTCGCGACGAATCCAGTCGTCTTCGCGAGTTGTGCCCCTGGCAAACTCGTGGAACTGGGACCCATCCGTAGTCAGATCAGACGAGTTAGCACGGAGGAACTTGGGCCGTGACATGGAGTGTCTGCGAGGAGTGGTCGGTTGAGGTGCAGCCGGGACAGCAAATGTCAACGTCGAGCTCCGTCTAGGAGTGGATGGAGACTCGGCTTTGGGTGTGCGATCAGCTTGGCTGGGATGCATGCCAATGTTTCTTGGGGGAGTGTTCTGAGTTGACGCAGGTCGAGCCGGGCAAGCAAACTTGATACAGGGTCGTCGGGGAGCTTCCTGGGCAGAAGGTGTCTTGACCATGGGCTGAGCTCGGGGTGTCTGGTCTTGAGCAGCAGGCTTTCCTCCACAGGCGAACTGGATGCTTCTCTTGCGAGGTGCCTCCTCAGCCCTGGCTTGCAATCTGACAGCAGCACCAAGCAGGGAGACCTGTTTCGGGTCTGCAACCCGTTCGTCGCTGAGGCGGAGCATGGTCATCTCGGGGAGAGGAGGGCTCGGGGTGCTGGGCCGCGAAGGGCTCGTGAAACCAGTGTCGCTCGTCAGGTCAGCGGTCGAAGCGAAGCTGATGGTACTGGCAAGGGAACGCCGCCGTTGGTTGCTGGTCAGGGCGGGTCGCTGAAGGTCGTGAGTTTGGGTTTGGTAGAGGTCGTCATCCGAGTTTCCCATGATGGCCTTGGTCAACAGAGACGACTTCTCGTTCGAGGGTCGAATGGCGGTTCGCTGAAAATCGCTTGAAGCAAGTGGTTGCTTTTTCAAGTTTAGCTCGGGGGGTTCGTCGGCTTCTTCGAAGTCTTCTGAGCCGTGAGCCACCCAAGGCGTGTCTGGGTTGTTTGTGGCCATGTTGGGATTGGGAAGGGGCTTCGGGATAATATCTGATCTGAGAGCAGGGATCAAGGCTTCAAAGCTATGAGCTGTCAATCCCGCAGATTCAGAGATCGAGCTTGTCGGCAAGGAACCGGAAAGGCAGTTCGAAGCGGGAGGTGTTGAGTCGAAAGGTAGCTAGGCGAGATGTGCGGCGTTTGTGAGGTGTCAGACGGAGCTGAAGCTGCAAGACGCTGCTGATGAACTATCGCGAGAGCGAACAACAACGTCCAGTGGTGCAGTATTACGTGTGTCCCAGAGGACAGAGGTGCTATAACAGAATGACGGACATGGTCAACTGGTATGAGACTCGGTAATGGTTGATGGTATGTTCCTGGGGAGGTAGAACCGCCTCAGTATAGGCCAGATGGGTCGATGGCAAGACGCAAGATGCAGGGCCGGCCCGGGCTTTTGAGAGCTGGAAGGAGGAGAAGAAGCGCGGCTTTCTCGAATCGCAGGATCCCCGTCTCAAAGAGTGGCGCCTATGCTAATGCTGCTTTGCTGGTGGTGGGTTCGCTGTGGGTGTGCTTGTTATTGCGCGTAGGTGGGCGTGGGAGCTGCAGGTGCAGATGACGTCCCTTGAAGGCACGAGTGCAAAACAAAGTCTAAGACAAAGACGGACAAGGACCGGGTAGGGACGATTGCCCGAGCGTAGTGTGTGTTGAAGAGGTGCAGGAGAATAAACAAAAAAGTGCGGGAGAAGAAAGAGGGATATATCACTCGGCAGTTGGGGAATTGAGGTGGTGGTGGTGTCGTCGATTTAATAAGCCCCTCGGGAACGCTTGGAAAGCGGCGGGAAAGAACGAGAGAAAAAAAAACAGTAGCCGATGGCAGGCACGACTGGGAAAGGTACGGGGGGTGTCCCCTAAATTAGAGGACGACGGTAAATGGGTGCCGTGCAAGGAGCGGGTAAAAACTGGAGCTGAAGATGGGACGGAGGGGACAAAAGGGAAAAAATAGGGACATGTGCCTTGTCGCTGTCCGTGTCAATGAAATTTTGCTGGCACGGGCTTGGCCAAAGGTTTCTCTCGGCTGGTAACATCCCACAAGGCGGGCGCCAGGTGAGGGTTCAGGGCAGGGCTTTCACTTGGTGTGGGTGGGACAAGCCCACTGAAGCTCAGTGGAAAGACTTGGTGACCAGGCCAGCGCTTGAACCTTTAGGGGATTGTTTTTTGCGCCCTTTTTCTCCTGGGGCGGGCTTCAACGCCTAGATCGATCCATGGGGGGCCACGGGCTTACAATGGTTCGCTGCCCTTGCCCTGCTACCTTTCCCTGTCTGTCAAGCTTGTCTCGTCCCGCTATAATTGCTCCGAGTCTTCGTTTCCGCTTTTTCGCCAGATGGAAAAAAAGAAGAAGACCTATTGGATCCCTCCCGACTCCAAATTTACGGTGCGTCTTACCTCTGGACATTCCGAGGCCAAATTTCGGCTACATAAGGAGACCTTCACCCAGTGAAACATTCAGGGTGCTCACACAGTACCAGGTTCTGGAAGGATCAACCAGTCAGGGTCTTCCCAATTGACCAGTGGCGCCTGTCAGAGATGGCCAAACAAAGTCCACGTGCGGGCGCCGAACACGATCCTCGCACTGTCTGTTCCACCAAAACGACCCACGACTCGTAACCGGATTGGCCGTGCGAATATCTCACCCCGAGCTAAAGCGCACTGCCCTCCACCCAAGCCTTGGTCATCAGCAACCTGGATTCATGATCTCCGTCATCATCTTTCCAGAAGCAAGCCGCCACAAGAAATCGCCGCCGTTGATTCACAACCCGCACTTGGCCGCCCCACCTATCCCTGTTCTAAAGGCTTCTGGCCAGTTGGAAGCGCGCTGAGGCGTGCTAGGGAGCAACAGTCACTCCTTACGAGGCGGTGTAATCTTAGATGAACGCTCGCTCTGCGACTTGGCTACTGCTGACGACTGACTTCGAACCGGTACGTGCGACTCGCTGAGTCGTACTTGTTGATCCTCGCGGCCAGTGACTGACAATCAGTCACTTTCCCGTCACCCCA